TTTAATTCAGATTTTGACACAGAGCTGTTAATAGAGACTGACTACCTCAAGAAGTGCAACTAGGTGGTGAACAGCAGGTAAACAGCTTCTCCGAGATTTGGTATCCAGATGCTGTAATATAGCAATGTGTGAAAAAGAAGGGCAGTGAGTCCCTGGGACCTAGCAAGGATCTGAATCGAGAATTGAAGCCCACAGGGAGAGTGAAGAGAGAGAGACCTCAACAAAGAAGAAGGAGGTGGCAAGCAGCACTTTCTCTCTGAGCCCTGATACACTATGTGAGAAGGGTAACTAGAACCTGCAGACACATGGTAACTACTAGTGACCCCAGAGGTCTCCATGGAGAAATGCATCAGTGGAATGGAGCAGTGGACACAGCAGACTGTAGTAGCTGGTGAGTTGCTTAGGTTCAGACATCCCCCCGGAGAGGGCAATTGGCTGGTGACCATCTTGAAGAGAGCCCAACTGAGCTGGGACCTCAGAGCAGCTGTGGGCTGGCTCTATCAGGGTGAGGTAGAAGCAGGATGTCAAGGAGCCAAGTTCAAGAGGACAGGAGGCACATGGGGTGTTGCAAGGTAAACAAATAGGATTCCTGCCTCACAGCCAAAAACCAGCCTGAGCTTCCGAACTAAAGGTGCAGGATTGCTGAGATTATCTACTACCCCTGCCATAAATCTCTGGCTGACTTGTTAGGATTAATCAACATGGATCTGGACTCTGTCTGCTTACTTTGTATACCAGTAATAGCAGAGACATGCCTTATAGTAGACTTTTTTCTCATTTTCTTTTTTCTTTGTTCTTGTTTTTATGTAAGTGTGAACATTGTTTCTAGTTTTTTGTTGTGGTTCTGTTGTTGTTTTTGGTTTTTTTGGTAGCAGGGAAAGAACTTGGGTCCTTGCACTTGCCCAGCAGGCAGCGAAACCACTGAGCTAAATCCCCGGCCCTGTTGTTGTTTCTATTTCTTCCTTTTCTTTCCCTCCTGCCTCCTTCATTAGTTTCCCAAAGTTTGCATAATCTTCCTTTATTCTCCAGCTTTGCTTCTAATCTCTTCCTTTTTTTTCCCCTAATCTCTTCCTTCCTTTTTCTATTTCTCTTTTTCTCCCCTCACCTCTTTTAAATTTTCTCCCCTGGGGGTAAAAATCGTCATACTAAGGGCATATTTACTGTATACAATTTTCTGCTTTTAGATTGCTATATAACCACAAATCTAGTTCATATAGTCAAAGGTGGCAAATTAATAGTTACCAGTTTGTCATTTTCTAGGCTGTATTTGATGCTATTGTTGCTGATTGTACTACTTTAGCCAAGGTGACACAGTTGTTCCAATCTGTTGGGTTTTTTTCTTTTTCTTTTCAGTACCAGGGATTGAACTCAGGGCCTTGGCATGGCACCACTGAGCTAAATCCCCAGCCCTCCAACCCATTCTTCCTGGTGTGCCCAGACCGAGATTGCTTAAGGGTCATAAACAATACTATAGGCCAGTGTCAGGCAGTAACTTCTCATCCCCAATAAATCACCTGTTTCTTTTCTTTTCTTTCTTTTTTTTTTTTTTTTTTTTTGGTACCAGGGATCAAACTCAGGACCTTGTGCTTGCAAGGCAGACACAGTACTGCTGAGCTAAATCCCCGGCCCTCATCCCCAATAAATTGAAGTGGATCTTTCAACAGATCAAAACCCAAAAGCCAGCTACACCTACAAGACATCTCTGAGAGTAGTCATTTCCTAAGGGTTCTAAATACTAGCAATAAAACCACTTGCCATAAGTAATTTACAAGCATCAACCCAAGAATTAAACTAGGAAGTGCAACTAGTGAATGACAGGGGAAAAAAATGCAGTATTCACTTTGTATCTCTATCTTTTTTTGTGGGGTTGAGGATCAAGCCCAAGGCTTTAGGATTGCTAGGCTTTACTACTGAGCACTATATTGTATCTCTGTATATGTTTACCTTTGGATTAAAAAATTTAAAATGCACTGTCCTAGAGATCAAACAGAAAAGAGTGTTCCTCCTCCTAGGAAAAAAGTACTTCCACTTAGAATAGAAAGGGATTAAGAAAAATAAGAACCCAGATATATTACGTAAAGGTACAAATTCCCAATAATGAATGTCAGCATACTGAATATCTACACTTGATCTTAGCCAAAAGGCCAAGAAGCAATAGCATATTGTATATCTAAAATGTACCAATAGGGCCGGGGATTTAGCTCAGTGGTTCCGCTGCCTGCCTCGCAAGCACAAGGTCCCGAGGAGTTCGATAACCGGTACCAAAAAAAAGAAAAAATAAAATAAAATAAAATGTACCAATAAAATTAATGGATGAAAATTAAAAAAAAAAAAAAAAGACTAAGAGACTTAGGCAAACAGCTCAGAGCCTAAAGTATTTGTTAAGGACCACAGCAAAGGTACAAAGAATAAAGGCAGAGAAAAAGAAGGAATCCAATCCTGGTAGCTTTTGTTTCTTGGTTCCAGCATTCCTGAGAAATTTTAGGAATTGCTTTTCTGGGCTCGCTGTCTTATGTACTGATTGAGTGCAGTACTACAGACTGAATATCCAGGGCCTCATGCATGCTAGGCAAGCACTCTAGAGCCCAATCTTTTTACTTTGAGACAGGGCCTAAGTTGCCCAGGCTTATCTAGAACTTGGGATCCTCCTGCTCCAGCCTCCCAAACAGCTGGGAATACAGGTATGTGCTACCATGCCCAGTTCATCTATCTTTAATAGCATTTCCCAGGAGGTGGAAATCAGCAAGATGGTGGAGCAAAACTCTCCAGTACAGGCCGGGGATTTAGCTCAGTGGTTTCACCGCCTGCTGTGCAAGCACAAGGACCCGAGTCCAGTCCCCAATACCAAAAACAAAAAAAAACAAAAAAAATCCTCTCCAGTACTTGTTCCCTACAGAAACACTGGATCAAACAACTATCAACATACAACATTTTTAGAAACATCCCTCACTATAAACTGCATCTTATTTTCCTTTTTTTTTTGCTTAAATTCTTTTATTGGTACATTTTAGGTATACAATACGTTTACATTTATCATTGGGTGCTTGTACCTGTACATGATGTATC